GCTTTAAAATAAAATACTAAAAAAGTTCTACGACTATTTTACCTTTACTGTTCATAAATGTAGTTTATTTTTATTTACCTGGAGGACAAAGGCCTCCGCGCTCTGTTAAAGTCTTACAGCCTTTCTGCCTGCTGCCAGTGAAACACTTCTGCCTCCAGAGAAGTTACACAACAAACACTGATGAGGTGAAGAAGTGCTGAACATAAATCACTCAGCGCCTCCTGACATGACAGAAACATCTAGAAATACAAGTGTTCCTTCAACTAAAGCTACCATCACTAGTCTAATATCTGCAGGCTGTTTTTGTCGGAGCTTCGGTTATTGTTTGATGAAGCCCCGCCACAATAAAAGCCAGCTCATGGCATTCCTTTCATGGCAGCGCAGCGTGTCGGCGTCTTGACAACACGTGTTTACTGCAGAGCTGGTGTACCTGCATTTAAAGCTGTCCATGAAACACAAGGCAGGTCCAGAGAGCGGCCGTAAAGCTGCAGCCCAGAGGGGCGTCTGTGCTTCCAGGGCCGGGACCGTATCATTACCCTGGAATGTGAACGAGAGGCTTCTGGCCACAAACTGCTGAGCATCATCAAAACGAGACGGGCTGCGTGTACAGTAGCTGCTTTACACGCTGCTCGGCACCAAAATTAGCCCTCAGCGCTCAGATAACAAGCTAAAGACGAGATGTTTATCAGCCGGCTGGAGCGCTGACAGCTCAGCTTCCAGCTCCTCCACCTTCAGGGTCACCGGAACTGCACGACAACATTTGGTATCAATCAGCGTCTGCGGCCGTGCACATGGACAGTGTTTGCTCTTATTTGTTCAGATATTGATTGATATTGATTTGTATCGATTTCTGACACCAGCTGGCATTAAAACTGAGGACTTAAACGTTAACATGTAGTCCTGAAGCCTGTCCAAAGGGAAATTACACTTTTTGCTCCACCACAAAAATGAAGAATACTTTTTAACACACCAGAAAAAGGGAAAAAAAGATCCAGAATTGTAGAAACAATATGGAAATGTGTGCATTAGAACTTCTTTTTTCTTTTCTCAGTAATCATGTCGTGACTCCTGACATCCATCCTGTGACCTTTCACAGGCGCCTCATTTGGACGTTAGCAGCTCAAACCTTGTTTGTGGAGAGATGTGTTGCTGTGAACTTGTCCTGCTCTGCTCACTGATGTGTCTTGGTCCCTGTAGTTGTTGAGTTTCGTGTTTGTGCTCAGTTTGATACTCGACTGTTTTCAAATTCCTCTGCTGGAAGCGGAAAGTTTCTTGGGACTTTGAAGCATGAATCTGGATTTCACAACTGGTCCGGAGGTTAGTTCTGGTCTCGAAGGCGGCTTGCACAAGTGGAAAGTCTGCGCTGGACATATGCTGACTGTGTTTACATGGAGCTGAGTGTCTGGCTGTCGGCGGGTTTTTATTCTGTTCTTGTGTTTTGTGTTCAGTCCGTCTGTGTCACATCAGACAGAATCAAGTCAATGAGCTCAAAACTAAGTTCTCCACAATAATTTGGCTGAATTTGAGAATCAGACTTGGGATGTTTTGTATTTTAATCTTTAAAAAGCATCTTACCTGAGAAGTCATTTCAAAGGTTCAATATGTCCAGAAGTTCAACTCCCACAGCCAGGAAATTTGGTGAAAACACAGACAGAATAGTTTCCAATGGATCTAAATGATTGAATATCACTGAATACCAGCAGAGGACAAGTTTACATTTTTGGCCCTTAAAAAATGGAAGAAAATGAAAAATTTTCAACCGAGGGTGGATAACAAGGCCCATAAAGTTCCTGTAAGTGTCTATCTATGGATGGATCCATGTTTCTACTAAAATACAGTCTTTGGTTGACATTTCACCAATTGTTGACGCTCTAAGAACCTGATCTCTATTGAGTGTTCCTTGTAAGTACCTGTATGTGAACATTTATTAAGTCAAAATGAGCCTTATATGTTGTTAAATTTCAACATGGAAGCAGCTTGTAACTTTTCACATATTATCAACATTTTATCAAAATGGTGAAAAACTGGAACCTTCTCTTGCCACACATCAGGTTCTCCTGATGTTAGAGCCTCAACAGTTGGTGAAATGTCGACCAAAGACTGTATTTTAGTAGAAACATGGATCCATCCATACATATAAACTCACAGGAGCTTTCTACCACCACAAAACTTTGCACTTTATCCCATTTTCAAGGGCCAAAAATTCAAAATGTGTCCTCTGATTGAGGCATTCAATCATTTAGATCTGCTGGAAACTATTCTGTCTGTTTCACCAAATTTCACGGCTGTGGGAGTTTTATTTCTGGACATATTTAAAACTTAAAAGGCCTTCTCAGGTAAGATGTTTTTCTAGCTTGGAAAACACTAAAACTCCCAGACCTGAAAACATGAGAAATTCTCAAAGTGCAGCCAAGATATTTTACAGAACTTAGCTTTGGTTCCAAATAACAGAAATCTGAAATGACATGGACTGACTCTTGGTTTTGAGAAGCCAGGACTTGATGATTTAATCGTGACCTCACTCTGAACAGCCACATTAATTTCAGGTTCGACTAACAGCTGCGGGAATGTCGGATTAAATTGCTGGTTTTGAGTTGTAAACATCTCAGACGCCTGCACAAAGAGCAACACGGTAATCAGTCACCAGGATACTGGTATTGTGTTTATCATGTTACGTAGGGATGGAAATAACCAGACTGCATGGAAGCAACATCTCAAAACCACAACAATCTGAATACTGGAGCTCATTTAAATTCCATCACTGATGTAAGAAACGGCATCTGTCCACTAGTTAAACTTCTGATGCAAAAAATGTTTGCAAATTTGATATATTTTGGAAGAAATAGATGTTGTTGCCTGAAGACGTCTTTAAAATCTCCCCGTTCTGTTTTGCTGAATTCATGGAAAGTGTTTCAAAAAGAACACATGTAGTGATTTGTGTAAAATGAGCCTGTGTTTGTTTAAGCATCATTGCAGTAAAACCCTCGAAGGATACCGACATCACGATCCCCCCGAACAGGAACATGAAAACAAAATCCGCCGTCCTTCCCCGGAAACTCCCTTCCTCCAGCATCCGACAGTATCGATAACTTGCGCTGGTTAAGGACTCTGGTGATCATTTCAGAATAAATTGTGGTGTTTTTAAAGTGATGTGTTTTCTGTCTTTGCCAAAGGAAGTGTTGTGATAAAAGATACAGGAAGATTATGTTGAACACAAAACTGAACCCAAGAGAGCCGAAGAAGAGGAAACTGGTTATCAGGCGCCATATCTAGGAGGAAGAGAGGTAAAGAGGGTGTAAAAATGATGATAATGTACCATAAGATCCTGTTTTACATTTGATAAATAGGTGTTAATGATACCTGGTATCTTCTGATGATGAGATCTGGGTTAAAGTAAAGCTGGAAGGGAGTGATGACCTCAAGTTGCTAAAAAATAATCCACAGTTAAAGATTATTGAGCACATTTGGCAACAACACATGTGTGGATAGTAATTATCTTTGAATTAATGAGAGGCAGAATTCACATTTCAACTGCTTTCATTCCTTTTACTTCAACTAAAAGTCCAACAGTTTTCTTTCACCCTTACATTGACTCCTTCACCTTCATCTAAAGTTCTTTGTTGCTCACATTTTTACTGACACATCAACTGCTTTCACACATCACATGAGCTCAGCTAGCTTCAGCAGTTACACTTCAACTTTCATGTGCTGTCTTCACTTATACTTTCATGTGTACTTCAGCTGTTTTCAGACATTGCATATCTTCTTGTTTTACCATAGCCAACAGTTTAACTCCTTTCAGAGCATACGTTACAACTTAAATTTCCAGGCCTTTAGTTGCCCACACTTTCACTGACACTTGTACTGCTTTCACGTATTACATAATTGACTATTTTCAGAGTTTACACTTCAACTTAATTTTCAAGTGTTGTCTTCATTTACATCATACGTGACACTTCAACTGCGTTTAATCATTATACATCTCCTACTTTACCATTGCTGGCACCTGAGCTGCTTTCACAGCTTTTGCTTTGACTGAAATTTCAAGTCCTTTTGTCACTCACATTTTCACAGACACCTTAACTGCTTTCACACATTACAGATCTGCTGACGTTACAATGCCTGACACTTCAACTACTCTCGGAGCTTGTGCTTTAAGTACATTTCAAACTCAACTGCTTTCACAGTTTCACTTTTACTGGCACTTCATCTCCTTTCACATGTCACACAACAGCCAACCCATCTGGTGCTTATAAATTTCACAAGTGCTTTTCAACTGCTTGCATCACATTTATTTTTAATTCCCCTGAATTCAGTAACAACACTTCAACTTAATCAACTCAACTGATTCCATGTCTTACTCTTAAACTGACACTTTAACTTTTTTCTGCACTTCCGCTTCATCTTATATGTCAGATTACGTATAGTTTGCAACTAACACAACTGTTTTTTTATACACTTAGGCTGCTTTCATTCTGTTGTTTTTACATTAGAACAACTTTTTGTTTATTGGCATCATTCAGTTTATAGCCTGTAACTCCAGTGCGTTATGCCCTTTATCTTAAAGTCAAACAGACCAGTGACTCACCTTTATCTGACACTTCATCTACTTTCAGTGATGACACGTTTCCTTCATCTGAAACCTCATCTGCTTTCATGTCTTTCTCTTCAACTCATACTTCAGCTACTTCCTTTACTTCTACTTTAACAGGCACCGGTATTGCTTTTTAGTCATTACACTTTAACTACTTTCATCTTTTACACATATTGAAAAAAGTGTCACTGCAAATCAGCTGCAAGTGTCCTCACCACAAATAACTTCAGTGCTTCAATTCTACTCAAATTGAACCTCTTGTTTGTATTCTTCAGTTCACAGTTCAGTTGCTTTCATTTCTTCTTTTACGCGAGTTCCCCTGTGTTCAGTGATTATGCTATACACTGTTCACAGTACAAGCATATGTATACATTAACTGCTTTAATGTTACATTCTTTAACTTACACTTCAACCACCTTCAGCTCTCATTTTCACTGACATTTCAACTGGTGCACACACTTGCATTCTCTTCACAGTGTCCATCTACTTTGTCTTTTCTTGGTCAGCTTGTAGTACAAGTGCTTTCTTAACCATGAGCCCAACAAGATTAACCAACAGCTCAACTCCTTTCAGTACTTTTTCTTCAACTGACACTTAAACTGCTTTCGTGGTTTGTCTCTTTAACCAGTAGTTTAGCAAAATCTCGCAACTGTTTAGATTTCTTACGCTTTACCTGACATTTCAAACATTACAGGGCAACCAACACTTACACTGCTACCAAGTCAACTCTGACTCTCCACTTCTGTAAGTGACACTTCAACTGCTTTCATATTGCCTTTTTTTTTTTTTTTTAAACTAACCACTTAAACGTGTTCAATATTTTTACTTGAAGTGAAATTGTAGCTGGCATATCAACTCTTTTCACTGGTCAGATTTAAAATGACACCTCAGCTCCTTTCAGTGCTCTCACACTGCACAAGTTCACATTCCTCAACAAGCATTATGTTCAGTTTGCATGTAAATAACAGTTTCCTCTCTGGTAAGATTGGAGGTTTTTTGTTGTCTGTCTTGTTTGTTCCTGAGTTGTTGTTGTTGTTGTTGTTTCTTACCACGGCGGCGGTGGTGAGGACGCAGGCAGTCGTGTACGCTCGGGTCACCACAGGGATCTGGAAATACTCCTGAGTGAAGCTGTGAGCCATCGCTGCTGCTGCTGCTGCTGCCGCCTCACTGTAAGCCATGATGAATAGGCTGCACAGGCCCCGCCTCCCTCACCTCACCGACCAATCAGATTCTCTTCTCAATTAACACCATCCACACCACAAACAGGGTTCTGACACATTAAAGTCAGACTGGATTAGAGATGCAGGAGCAAAGCTGACAATAAACAAGATTCTAAAAGTGACATAAAGATTATGATGAATCTGTTGATCATGATGAAATTCTGACATATAAATTCACAATTAAAATCATACAGTTCATAGTAATAAGCAATAAATAATTAAAACAAACTATTATTATTATTATTATTATTATTATTATTATTATTATTATTATCATTATTATAGGTCAAATGTTTTTTT